AATTTTATTAAATGCCGACTAAAAGTTTGCGTCGGCGGCGTGTTCCGGGAAGCCCGTAAATATTCTGATTTAAGTACTCTTGAAGTGCGGATTTTATAGTCTTTCATTACGGTTTCAATGCTGAAATAATGGGAGAGGAAAATACAAAATCTCCCGGCGGATTCGGAGCTTTAAATAAGAACTAAAAAAAAAAAGATAACGAACGACAAATTTTCATTCAGTCTGTTGAATTTGTTGAGTACTCCTGTCATCGTCTGCTGATTTCATTTTAGTACTGTTCTACTATAGAGATTCTGTCATATATATAGCAGGCTATCATTTATTTCTATAACCTTTCCAGAATTTTCAGCTGCGCTATTTTCCTCTTGGCTCCGCAAAATATTTCTTTGCAAGACTCATATTTTATCAGGCTTTAATTAGTCCCTGATAAATCGCTATGAGGATAAAATCGAATAATTCCATTTAACTAGAACATTACAAAGTGTGTCGAAATCGCACGTTAATTCCGCGGAAACAAGTTGTCGATTACAAGTTGGCGTTATTCATAGAAATAAATTGAGTACGACTGAGTCATCTATTATGGCACTGTCAGAGACCCGTGGGTGCTAAATGATAACAAAGGCCTCTGTTATGAAATAACTTAGTCAATAGAATATATTACATGTGTACGATCGTAGTTTCTCTGTTTTAGAACAAGGCTTTCTGTTTTTAGCTCATAAAACGTAGATGCTGAAATAGAATACTACATATTATACACACAAAATTACAATTCTTCGGTACAGCATTAAGTCATAGAGAATTGAACTTTAATAATTTATGCACCGTTATAAAAGATTCATTTTTTAAAAATTCTTATGCTGCTATAAACAAAGATATATTCCTGCGATACAAAAGATATTACTGACGTTTGTAGGGTAACGTATGCATTACTATTTCAACACATTTGCTTTCTACTCTATAGTTTTTTTTTTTTTCACATTTTTAACATTAAACATAGTTTGCTCATTTTCTTTCTGTACGAGATTTTCGGATCTTTACAACGTCCTCGCAGTCCGTATACGCGACTTCTGATTAGAGGTTATAATCCATTATTATAAGTTAGACCTGACATAATTTTCCTTTAATGAAACTTTTAATTAATATTAATTTAGAGAGTATAATAAATGGTGTTTACGTATTGACGGTACGTGCTAACTAAAGTTTATTCATAAAATGCACCGTGGGTTGCAGGGAGAAACGTGAGTACATTTAAACAAGCGAGAAACAATTATGCATGGGTCGATACAAATTTTAGTCGCTAGCCGAATATTTTTGCCTACTATTTTAAGATCCCCGAATACTCGATATTCGGCGATTAGCCGAATATATTATTCGTTGTAAATCTAGTTAAAACATAATTGTATCGTTACGAAAACATTTTATATGTGAACTAATGGCGCATACACATAAGTATCATAGTAACAATTTATAAACACGAATGTGTTGTTGCAAGCGCATTTCCTCTTCATAGATAAAATGGTATAAACTATTTAAACATAATTAGGACAAATAATTATTAACTACGTTGGATGCTTTTCTTCATGCTACAATAAATCTTTACGAAATGAAGTAGCTGTCGTTACTTTATGAATAGAAACGCTATTTAAATTTAAAACATAAAACTGAGATAACTACGTTCTTAAAGTGTTGATAACATAGCACGCCTCTGAGGTCCCCCAGGTGAGGTGCATCCGTTTAGTGTGAGGCGGTTACGGGACGGACACGACACGTAGTCGTGCAGCCGCCGCGAACGATCGAAGGGAACCCCTCCCGTAAGTGGGACGACGAACTGCGATCGATTCCGTTGCACTCGCGGACCCTGTGTCCCCTTAGTCCGACCTCCCGGCTTCACACGTACGCGAAATTTACACCTGTACAACCAGCCCGTCCGCGGCTACCCGTTTACGCGCTCTCGTGAGAACTTGACCAAGCCTCAATAACGACGAGCCGCCGCAACATTTCTTTTCGTCGACATCAGAATTTCTTTTCAAAACGACTAAGTAGTAATGACTACGAACTGCTCATGACAATGATCGAAGCAAAATACTCCAAACATCGATAGTTGAAAACGATGACGAAGACGAAATTTTGGGTACAAAATTATTTCCAAGATATGTCTAATCCGCCAATCTACAGTGGGACCGTATGGTGGACTATGCCTTGATACCTTCTGTACAGAGGAGGTCTTTGCTCTGCAGTGGGATATATATAGGTTTTTCTACATATTTAATATATATAGGTTGTTACTTCACTTTACTTTTTTTATGAATATTAGTTGATATTCTTATGTAATGTTATATACTCTGAAGATTATTTTGTTTAAATAAAAAATGCATTACATCCACCTGTAGAATGAGATGATGGTGGGTTTGTTTTTTGCAATTGCATATTTCAAACAAAGCAACGAAAAACGCCCAGATCCGGAAAAATAATGATCTGTAGGTCATATACATCAGGGGTAGGAATTCGATTGTAGTAGGACCACGCCGCAGTTTCTGCTGTTGCACGAATGAGTTGGCTCGTCCAGAGAAGTGCCAGAGAAGTAAGTACTCGGAAGACCGGCGTGAAGTGAAAGTATAATACTTTCGAGTTTCATCTAGTGAGTAAGGCAGCCGGAGCCTACTTTATCAAAGCTTGGTTACGAATCTGCTACTTTTCAAATGAAGTAGATGTCCATGGTCCATTAATTAACATCAACTGATACATCTGCTCATTTGTCAATGTTTCACATAAAATAAAATAGAAACTACGACCCGCAACGCAGAAAGCTTTCGCTTAGCAACTGCGTCATCCGAATTAACACAGTATAACAAAAAAATTATGTGTTGTCATGTTTCTTTTAAACATCATAACAGTAGCTTGATTCGGTGTTCGAATATCTACGAACTTTCTAGTGGACTATTACTAACTTTCAGTATGGAAATATTATTTTATTTAGTAAAGTGGAATCATTCGATGACTCGGTCTACACCACTGAATAACAGGTGTGAGTATATAGGTATAATAATGAAAGAGCAAAAGAAGTAATTATTTGAAGTCGATATTTTACTTAATATGCATTAAATAAAATCAAATTTGGCGAATGTTCGCGCCGCCATTGAATCTCGTCTCGGCGGGTCCGCTTTCGAAAATATCAGCACTGTGCAAATCAAATAGTCGAGGACGGTGGCTGTTGAATTCCGCGAACGGGGTGTCCCGGGGGAGTTTACGGCGCAGTAATTATTCGCATAGATAGCGCAGGACGGCGCCGTCGTCTGGTCGGCATTAAAAGTCTTGCGGCCGAAGCTCCCAATTAGCCGGGACTTTGACGCTCACCCGACGGCAATTGCGAAAAGAAATATGTTTTAGTGCTCCCTTGGAATTATTAATGAAGATCTATTGGGCCCTCGGAGGTTTTTCCTCCCTCCCCGCCGTTCGATTAAATGAAGAGCGATCGTTCCGTGTTTTTCGCGTGGCGAATGAAAACTTTTTGAGCCGTTATATTTTTATGTTTACAGAGCTTGAAAAGATTAAAATAATTCGTATTAAATGTAAACTGAAATTTTATACACTTTACAATTTATGATTCATGGAAATTCAAAAAGTTTTCATATTTAATGCTGTAATTTCGTTACGCCGGTATGTTTTATGCGGATAAAGTGAAATTTTTGCTAAAAGATTTCATACGAAAATTGTGCGTTTGAATTAAATTAAACACTTACGTGTTTGGTTTACGATGAACGCTTTTTAGTCGTTGTTTAGTAATACGATTCCGTCGGCAACAGCCATCCATAGATAACTTTTTATTTTATTATTAAAGAATTTTATCATCTAACACATACGTCTCCAATGCGACTTAAAATCGATAAGTTAATTAAAAATGAGTCAAATTTCATTTCGGTACTACCTACCATTGGCTGTTGACACGGGGATACTGTTGAGCGGTAGGCAGGGAGAACAAAGCCTCGGGGCCAGATAAAGTTCTATCATTAACTTTTCCGCAAGCGTCTACGCGTTTAAAGTCGCAGACAGACATCCTCTACTCTTCCTTATAAAACGACCAGCGAGAAGAGTTTTCATCTACAATATCTGTACCTCAGAGGCATACAATATTCACTCCGTCATTTTTTAAAATCACTTTTCTTACACCATTAAAATCGCAACATCAAATTCTTCAATATTCAATAGTATATATGAGATCACAATCAATAATTCATTCAATTATTCTCTCCACGCATTTTTGCCTCTCCTGTAAAATTTGTGTTTTGTCGCATAATGCTGTTAACCTCTTGGGTACAGATATAAATAGAAAACGCTAAACGGAACCGATTATTGTATTCAGAACACTCTCCAGTGTGGCTTTGCCAGTACTGGTACGCCGCGACGCTGGCGAGACGACACACTCGTAGCGTCGACTTATTAAATTCACCCGGGGGGCCGAGTGCAAACAATGCCGCTCCATCTCGAAGGCAGATAACGCCTTGTAACCGGGCACAATGGGTGTTGTCTGGCTGCAGACATTCCGAGAGGCGTCACCCGCAAACTTCGCCCCGCGCCGAACTACTAAAGCACTTCGGGCTATTAAAGGGGTTATCCTTCAGGGCCTTTGTGGCCCGAGCGGCCGGATGAGATACGCCAAGGATGTCGTATATGCAAAAACCACGATGTAATCTATAAGAACATTCTCGATGCGGTATATGAATTTAATGATTCTATGTCGAAGAACAAACTACAAATGGTTCTTGAGAGGATTCGTCATATGCGCGTTGCCAATTGCCCTGAAACTGGCTTTCGCTGATGCTCCAACTATAAAAATGGTTAACTCACTGTCATGGGAAGTTATGCCTCAAACTTTTATCAGTAGGAGCTCTGTGTTTAAGTCCAAACTGTAGACGTATTTATTTTCGGGCGATTAGATACCACTGTCGCAATTCAATTGTCTTTACGAGTAACATTAATGGTAAACCAGTTGTGACACTCACCGACCAGGTCGCCTCGATATATGTGCGATGTGTCCACATCGTGGATTTCACCGTTGGAACCTTCGACCTGTGGTCAAAAAAGAAGGGTTAGGCGTGCATTAAATTCGATAAGCGCATTCCACATACCTACAAAATACTTACATTATCAATTTGAAAAAAAAAAAAAAAAAAGACAATAGATCACATTATTAGTAGTATGCTTTTTATTATTACATTAAAAGTAGTCTCTAGATATACGTATATTAAAAAAATTACTGCAGAAAATTATATTATGGAGCACGAACCCAAAAGTACTCCCGAGTTTTTCATATCTAATCCGATGTTATAATCTACGTGATGAGACTGGAACTTCGCGTTCAAATGTCACCAACAAAGGACACCGACATGGCAGGACGTTTAACAAGAAAAAGTATTCATTCATAAATTTTTTTTACCGTAAAAACCGCTTCCCGTGTAAAAGTCGAGTCTGCCTTCCTTGCTTTTTTATTTTACCAGGGGCAACGACTGCAGTGGACTTTTATTTCGGGGATTCGGGGAGACAAGTCGCCCGGCCATTGTTTTGACCTTTTTCTTTTGCTACGCTCTTTAATAAGTGGAAGCGGATGCTATATTTTTGTTGCATTAGGGGGTGGGATTCGTGGGGGGGAGTAGCGGGCTGCCGATCTCTCACTCCGTTGCGATAATGAAAATAGCTACTTATCCTTCGGCATCGTTGTATTACTCAGCACGGAATTGCCGAGATTATCTCGCGATCGTTATAACTACAATACTTTTGAGAGTGAAACGTAAAGGGATTTCGAAACAATACAACGGTTATACTATTGAAAATGCATACAGAAATGTTGACCATCTAATGTGACATATCATGTAATGTTGACAATCTATCTAAAACAATGTGTAGGATCTTGGTGTTACATACGAGGGTGTTACTTAAACCGAAATATTATTACTATTTCGATCATTTTAATGTGTTTCCCTTTTAATTGATTAAGAGTGTATAATCTATAGTCAAATTTATATAATTTGATTTTTACATAATACATGAACTTTGATTTATTTGACGATTGCAACACTAAAAATAAATATTTCATAAGCCTTTTTAATTATTTATTGAGAATAATACGTTTATCCGAACGGCTTTGTGACTTATGGAGTGTAAATGAAATCTATAATAAATCGAACATAAACCCTTAGCATTTATAATAATGAAATAGTCCTTTTGACGTATAGAGGCTTTAAATTTCGGTGTTCAAATTTTTCATCCGGTAATTCTCAAATTCATTCGTAATACATGTAACAACACATGTATATTGAAATGTTGAAAATGTTGAGAATGTTTTATAATTCGCTTGGGACATGCTCATACTTCTTGTTATTTTACACTTAAGAATAACATTTCGGCAATCTTAATAATAAAATGTCAACAATATATAGGGATAACGCAGCTTTTGCCTGTTCGTAAAAATCCATAGAGAATATCTTTTATGGTGGACAAAATCAGTCGTAAACGCTTAAAATCCCGCCATTGCGATTCGGTAACTGGATACACGAAATTTATCAAAAAAATACATGAAAAAGAATTAATATAAACACTGTCTATATATTAGAAAGAAATACATACATTTTATAAGATATATTCAAATTTGATTTTTATCCTTACTTTCACGTCACGTCACACACCACGCACACATTTGTATATGTGTATCTGAGCGTGACGGTCACGCGAGTTCAGTGCTTTTCCCCCATCCCAAAGGTAACCAACGTTGAAACAAGTCACTCAAAAAAAAACAGAACTAATTTTGATTTTCAACCGACTTCGAAAACGGAGGACGTTCTCAATTCAACTGTAATTTTTTTATATTTGTAACCTCAGAACTTTCGACTGAGTGAATGGATTTGGATGATTCCTTTTTATTTAAAAGTTTATGCTTCCCATTTGGTCCAATATTAATTTCATTGGTATTGGATGTTGGGCTCCGGAGAAACTTAGGGAACTCGTGAAAATCAATTATAAAATGAATACAAAACGATATTTGAAGTCGGTTTTGTTTTTCGTCAGTAAAAAAAAAAAAGATTTCCAAATAAAAAAAGAATCATCAAAATCGGTTCACTCAGTCGAAAGTTCTGAGGTAATAAACATAAAAAAATGCAGTCGAATTGAGAGCCTCCTCCTTTTGAAGTCGGTTAAAAATGGACTCGTTGAGGCTTCCAACAGATTTCGATTTGACGCTGGACAGAGTATGAGAGGCGGTGGGTTTGTGTGCGTGTTCGAGAGGCAGTGAACTAAAGATTCGACGCTGGACAGTGTGTGGATATGTATGTGTGCGACACTGGACAGTGTGTGGGTATGTATGTGTGCGACGCTGGACAGTGTGTAGGTATGTATGTGTGTGAGTGACAATAAACTGGCGGTCGCGCCCACCTTGTAGTCCCTGCTGAAGGCGGAGAGGTCCCTCCGCAGGCGCAGGTGGAAGCGGCGCCCGTGCGCGTGGAAGGCGATGCGCAGCTCGGGCGCTTCGGTCGAGCGGCGGGTGCGGGAGTGCTGCGCGTGGACTGCTAGCGAATCGTACTGCAGCGGCTCGTAGTGCTCCACGTACTCGTTCAGGCGGCGCGACGCTGCAACGACACGACGACGACACGTCATCAATAATGCGCCAACTCACGGCTTTTTATTTCAGCCATCGCGGAGGTTTTGCTATTCGAGCGATGAGTAAAATCATTATCAATCAACCTAAAACATATTATTGGCTGGTTGGTGCAGTGACTAGAAGATAGACCCTGGCGTCGTGGGTTTTGGGTTCGATTACCACCCGGGAAAAGTATTGAGTTAGATCATTGTTTAGTTTGTTTTAAATACCTGATATTAATACCTCTAAAACACAAAGTCATGTTATCCTAAAGTATGAGTAAAAAAAAATAATGAACACATCCAAAATTTCGTCTAATATTTAATTATATAGAATAATTATATGCACTGTAGTAAACTATCGCAGGAATATAATATTTAAATAAATGGTCTCTCTAGCCTCTTTAGTTTTGCTGGAGGACATGCAAATTATTTCAGGTATAATTTGAATAATTCGTTTATTCTTGAATTCTACCTTAATTTATGAATACTTATTTGAATGCCTTTATATAAATTATTTTGAAAGAATGAGTGTATAGAACAATAACAGTCGAATATATAATATTACATATAAAACATACAACTCAAACTGCTACCTACGAGAAATCATGACATGAATCGAAATCAACAAGAATTTGTGAGAATCGCATATTAAATTAAACGCTTCGAAAACAAAGTTAAAATGCTTTAGTTTTTATAAACTACGCATGAGTGTGAAACTTGTCAAAGATAGAGACTTAAAATTTTTGGGAGAGTGGAAAATCGAATTCAGAAAATTTACAGTTGTGTCACAAGAATCAAATTATTTCCTGAGATCTTGGAAATACTTTCGTAAATACTGACAATATATTTCAAAGAAGATGCGAGAATAAATTCACAAATATAAAATAAAACATGAGCAGCAATCTCGATTTTTTTACCTGCCATTAAAACGGAATAAATACGCCTAGCACGAATTTATGAACAATAATGAAATCGGGCATCACTAATGTATATTGACAGTTGTCTTTGATGTCTGAAAAGTGCTGCCAGTTTTCACGCTTAAAAAAATATTACCAAAATTGTGTATAATATTTAACCCAACGGGAAGTACTACTGCTGTAATAGGTTTTATTTTTAATACCAATAAATAAAAATTTACTTATACTATATAACAACATCCATAGTCTGAACATAAAATTGAAAAGCTTGCTCTAAGTGTATATTTGCCCTATTCGACTTCTTTTGGTAATTTAACACAATAATTCCCTCGGTTTTCAGTAACAGGGCGACATTTTTATTTTATTTAACTCACGTGGTGTTAAGTTGTTGCAAAAAGCTGATCCGAATACATCTACATTATACACAACTGCTAATTTTTCCAACGTCACATTCGGTGAATTCCTCCTTCCATTTTAAATGTCAAATGATAATATGCAAGCAAAATCTAAATCGAAAAATGATTTTGTATTCATGGGGATTTCGGGAGTCAATAGCGGGGATGGACCACTCGGGTACAGTAGAAGTATCTCAGCGAAACAAAACTAAAAGCAAGCATACAATATAAAAGCATGGAGGCATTAATAAAAGTGCACTCTTCGAGCATAATGGGAGCCACGATTTTTATAGCAATGAAAACATGCTTTGTGAACACTACCGACGGAATGTAATGAAAAACTCCCGGGCGATTGTTGGAGTGCAATTGGATGTAGCGCGTTGGAAAAAAATAGGTTTAGAAATTGAAACCGCTCGTATTTCCCATTCAAGTAAGGACAATTCGAGAGGCACTAAATCTTAATTTCAATCCGACGGCGTTGTACGAACACTCCTCTGCTGGCTGCTCTGATAATGGCTACTTTGCCAATTTTTTGTCTTCACCGAAAAAAGGAGACCCAAAAAGTTGCAAACTCTGTCTTTGGCGACGGTAGCGGATTTAAAATTATATAAGACAAACATAAAATTATGACTTTAGACCAGAACCAAAGTACGTTTAAATAATTTCGAAAATTTTATTTTGATTGGTTTGTTTTGAAAGAGTTATTAAAGCTTTAATTTGTTACATTATGCATGTTTATGTGAACAAGTGGTAAACGAGTAAATCGTTCAATCGATATTAATCTGCCGAAAAACTAGGCTTTGCCACAGGAGTAAAGCGGGCCGCAAATTCCTGGACATGATTAAAAACCGCATGAATCGCAGTCGTTATCAAACCCGTCCCCTTCTATCGAAATCCGTTCAATTTCAGACGTTGAGAATTTTCCGTAACGTTAATTATAAACTTCACAAGTGCCCAAGTTGGGCACAAAGGACACAGCTTTCAACAGGAGTTGCCGAGCGTCCGTAATTTTATTACGTTACTTTTGGAGCTCGGTATATTATCGTGTCTACGTATACATATACAGATTGCGGATTTACAACCGAGCGATATATCATACATATATAGCAATTTGAATTAATCTTAATTGATTTACAATGCAGCACTGTCTCCGAAGCCAATGAATACATTTCACATAATCCCTGCTATTACGGGCAACGTGTATACAATGACAGTAACGATAACAAAGTAGCTTTAACTCCATGGCTGCTAAACAATATAGTATCAACATTTATAAACATGATTAAAATATTATTATATTATTTGTATTCGATTGAGGTTTATAAGTAAGAAAAAAGTTTTACTTGTATAAGGAGACGTCGCGTCGTTTCAAAATCAAAAACCCGAGGCAGAATTACGCTCGAATAAAACGACGAGCTTTATAAATTCATTGTTGCATTCAGCAAAGCTCTGTACTCGTACGGTCAACGACTAATAATAGAGGCCGGCGTCTAGAAGGGAAATGGGCCATGCAAGACGTCTTGTTGCTGTGCAAGTGTGCAACACGTGTTGACGTTGCGTTCTATGAATAGATTTTACAGGGAAATAAATATCACCGCTAATCGAGTAACGATGATTAACAGGCGATAGGTAAAGTTTACCTAAATAACTTTTTATGCATTTCATAATAATGTTGATTTTCACTGGGTTACACCTCACGGATCATATCAAAAGATGCCACATAAATATTACTAACGCTCAGTTGAGTACTTGTATAAGTTAAAATATAAAATAATATTTCAACGATTTCAACTATATTTTGGCACTAAGTGAGGAACGCACACAAAATATAAGCCTACTACATAAAACATTAATCCAGAGCTAAGTACCTACGCTTTCAGATAATGGTAAGATTACAGTACTCACATATCGAATCGTCAACCAAAAAATTCCATTTTTATTTTATTATGATATTATATTGTCACAAATATTAATGATGAATTATAAAAATAGAAAAAAAAATTAAAAGAGATCAATTATATATACAATTATTGAAAAATATGCAAACAACAAAATTAATTGCCATCTTATATTCAAGTGCCTATATAAGAGGGAAATTGTTTCAAATTTACTTCGCGTCACAAAAGGTGACTAGCAATAAGTTTTGCATAAAATTTGCTGACAAAAGTTCAACGGAGCACAACGAAGCTTAACGTTCCGACTTTGAAAAATAAAAAACTTCTGAAATATATATAGGATAAAGAATTTTCCGGAGAAATCCTTTGTTACAGCATTAAATTATCGCTTGTAAAACCTTTTTATTGCTATCGGGTTTCATAAATAAAAATTTAGGAAATTCCGTGAATTGTGAACAATAAAAACCACAACTTGGTTGGTATGATGAATCTTTTGTGTTCTGGTCGTGCTGTAGTATCTACAGTTAAAAGATAATATGAAAGATTTAGTGCCGTAAACGAAATACATTAGGTAAACAGTAAACGGAAGACAACTCATAATATCTAGACATTAAACATACATTACAAAATCCCGCTAAGCTATCTTACAATACAATAGTACCTATTATATAGTACTATTTATATAATACTGCATATGCATTGCGAGTAAGTGAAGAGAAACAACAACATTTTCAACCGACTTCAATCGGTTCTCAATTAGTTTGCATGTTAAAATATGTAGAAAAAGTACGAAAAGATTGTCGCCGCTGTGGGAATCGAACCCACGTCTTCGGCATTCGCGGCCTGACGCTCTAGCCACTGAGCTAAACGGCTGATTGCCACACCGACAAAAAATCCTAAGTGCAAAGATTGGCACTATAAACAATTTAAATTTCTAGTTTGCATGTTTTTTGGTTACTATTAACCATTTGATTATAAAAACCATTAAAATGACTTCAAATATCTCATTTACTCACTTACCATTTATGACTTTCAGGAGGGTAAGTATCTCCGGAGTCAAAAGTCCAATACCAATCAAATTAAAGTGCGACCACAGGGGAGACATACCTAATGTAAAAATAATTTTAAAAACCGGTTCATAAATAAAAAAATACAACCAATATGAGAAGCCACCTATTTTCAAGTCGGTTAAAGATGAAACAACATGCGATATATTTAGAGAGGGCATCCGCGTAGCGAGGGGACGATATACCGACGTATAGAACGGCACAACGTACACCGCATTGCAAACGGGACGATGATTAAAGGGAAGTCAGATAGCACGGGTCAGGTTAAGTACGCGATGGCGCATAAGTTGCGGCGCAGCTGCAGCCGAGTGCAGGGCAATCCGGCCGCTAGACGTGCTCGATTTATTTAGAGATCCCGTTGAAATGGATTCCCTCGCGCGCCCGTCCCGTGCACCGGAATGAAATCGTTTTTATTCTGGCTACGTTCCATGCAAACGGCGTCGTGGAAATGTTCGACTCGAGCGAACAACTGAACGCGCGCTCGTTCCAATTATTGTCACATCATAAACTTTTGTTAGTACGCAGGTACCTACTACTACGTAATGTACTGAAGTTTAATACAATAAGGCCGTGTTTTTCTGACTTGATTATCGCTTATATACGCACATATATAACCTTACACAGCGTTCGCTTGATGCAAAAATAGGTACCGAATCGGAATACACGACACTGTTTAATATCCGTGTGTAAAATTAAAACCCGTCGGAAACATA